AGTATTGTAATTTTAGATGCTTGTTATTTGGCTACATGTGAAAACTACGAAGACGTAGAAATTGGAAGACGAAACCAAAGCAGAGTGTGACAGGTATATTTGATATGAAATAAGCATATTTGTATGTTAAGAATTAAACCAAGTTTTAATGAAACATATTCATGTATCTGAAACAAATCTCTGAAATAATAATTAGTACAGCACATGTGTTGAAGTCACACAGTATATTAAAGAACAGTATATTAGGAATAATATAGTTAAAAGAATTTCATGATATGAATAGAAGAAAAAGAATAGAAAATAGATTTGCAGCTACAATGCAGCTATGTATTGGTAACAACCCAAACCCCTTTTTAATGATTTCAAGGTTATACTAAACAAATAAAAATGACTAGAATAGAGGATGAAATAGACAAAGACTCACATACGTATATATTTTAAGAATAAAAAGTTGTTAAACCATACATTATCACATTAAAAGAAACAAAATCAACCAGACGCATGGTTATTGGTTAGGAAAGGACAATTGCAGCAGTTTAAGGAGAACTATAATATTAAACAAAACCACCCCATTGATCCTGTTTATAAAGTGAGAAAATGGGAAAGGCATATTAAGTACACAAGTTTCTAGAGAATGCAAGGGCTATTCAGGTTTCTTTTCATGATGTACAATGTGACACAACAACAAAAAAACAGATTGTTTAATCTTAAGACAACAAAAAAGCTTCAATACAGGGCATTAGTGAGATTCTACTTGTTTTACAACTACCCTAAGAGGTTTTTTTTTTTAATGAAGACTTTATGCTAGATTAAAATTAAAATGTAAATCTATGTGATTGCTTTGTGAGTTAAGATGTCAAGAAGGTTTAATTTGGACGGTTCATCTGATGAACATCTTTTTATATATACATTGTACATGTATGCTTTAGGTACATTTTAGTATTAGCATTGTGAGTGAAATTACAAACTGCAAATTTTCATTAGTAGCGTGAAATTGTGCATAATCTACATGTATGACTGCTACATTTCTGCTTTCCATATTTTTCTCATCTTGGGATCTAAACCTGTGGCTCTTACTAATTTCAAAAAAGGATAACTAGAAGCTTGAATTCTCTTGGAATACCACACAATTCACAGAAGTAAAACACAAGATATGGAATGGTTCAGGGCTGGAAACATGATTTTACCATGAAGAAAGTTTATCAAGCACATGTACACATACATGTATAATACAAACGTGTAGGCCACATTGGCACATGTACATGTACACATGTTGGGTTTGTCATGACAGAATAAAAAGGGATGCTGATGCAGATTTAAAGAAATCAGGTTTTCCATGATTTCTCACCAATTTTCACATTTTGTCTGAGAAAATACTGCCAAACATGCAAGTGTTCTTGTACACTATAAATTTGAGGGAAAGTATGTTACCACATGAATTCCTGATATGGGAATGATATTAATGGCTCTTAAGCTGGGAATTCGGTGATAATATGTATATTACGCAGTGACTGCATGGTTTGGGTAATAGTATATTTGTAAAGCGCTGAGAGACATTTGTATTAAGTGCTATATTAAAATTAAATATTATTATTATTATAATTTGGGGAAATTGACCGATCTGGGATATGATAAAGACACTCAAATTCAGCAGGTACAAAAACTCATTTCACACGTTGATGTCTTTCCAAATTCAAATCTCTAACCTAAAATTTAAGAAATAAAATAATAATAATACCAATATGACAAACAAAAATATGCAACACAATAACAAATTTGCTTAAAATCCTGTCATATGTATTGCTTTAACAATTAACCTAAACCTGCCAAAATAGCCTATTAAAACAGTCTAGTACATACATTTAGGTGTGGGGCGTGACATTCCACCATATTAACTATATTAACTATATTATAAATCATCAATGCAAAAACAGTATGGAGTCTAGACTCCCGTTGCTACATGTATGGATGTAAAATGTTCTTTCCTCCAACAGAGTGAGAGTTAGTTTTATCATGTTAGTTACAGAGCAAGTAATGTAATGTGAAAATTAAATAGATCTGTAATAGGTACATAAATGTTCAGCCAGTAGCAATAATTTATACAAAAGCCTGAAAATATCTACTGAACAACCTCTATTGTCAGTCCAAATTAGAATACACAGACAAACTCCAACAAATTCATGCAAAATATAATATTTTCAACAGTTTCTCATGAATATCTATCTTAGTGTAGTGCAAACACAATTAAAACAGCGGTAACCATGGAACATCATGAAGTTAGGTTGATGATGATCATTACGGATGGACCTCTTTATAGGCATGCATCATACAACAGTGTCTCTCAAAAGCATTCAATACTGAACTCTCCTACAGTGTGGATGTTAGTTTTCTGTCCATTGAGAGACCACGACAGATTTGGGGATGAGCTGTGTTAAACAATACAAAAAATACACAGGACAAGCATGCATGGTTAGATTTGTGTGTGGTTTGTTGGTTCAGTTGTTTAGCCGAGAAAGAATGGATGGATGGATGGATGAAAAGCTTCAAATGAAATGACAGCGATAAAATTACTTCCTAGGATTTTGTTGAAACTTTGAAAGTCAGTTAAACACCCAATAATATGGTTCAATTCAATAAAAGAAGCACAATGCAAAATGCCATACAGCATAACAAAAATATAAATAAACAGCAAAAAAGCTAACACCCGCACTACAGTTGGAGGGGATATTTATAAACACATTAGCAGACAACCTTGTGAATATTACGCAAAGGAATTCCTGGTGGCACTGCTTGCTGTTGCTGAAATCACAAAATGAAAATGAAAAGGTGACAGGTAAATTGACAAGGAAGAGTAACTCCCTGTCTGTCCCTCCCTCCCTCCAAACAAATAAAACAAAAACAAAAAACAACAACACGTGCATACAAATCAGAGGGAGTCTCTCTCTCATCTGGTCTCACTCAAGTCATCAACAGAACAATCACACAACCAAGCACACACGTTTGTTCCATATGTTTTAGGAATCATTGGATACATAAATACCAAGCATCAATTTTGGTCATCACAATATACATGCAAAGTAATACAACCTGAATTCTTCACATGACAAATTAAATCTTTATAAGTTGTAACTGTTGCACGGAAGAACACATGTAAATGTATAGCACCAGACTTGAACATTATCCTTGTAGTTGTAGTGTACAATTCAAAAGACTCAAAAGGAGGACATACCAACAGTTACTTCTTACAAGCAAATGTAGCTACACGTACTTGCAAAGCTATAAATTCTAAACCCTGCCCACCGGCCCGCCCCCTCCCTCCGCCACACACATATCACGCATAATCCAAGTGCTTTAATGATTTCATCAGACTTGATCAATATCCTCACATCTTAGCTAAATTTGGGTGAAATATATATGCGTTACAAAGCAGAAATTAAAATCAAATTTTATTGATATAATATAATAAGGATTCTTATAAAGGTAAGGTTGCATTCCTTTTAACAAGACCAATGATGATACATTTATTTTCTCACATTCAATAAGCTTTGTGCAGATATTGCATGCATATCATGCCATAGGTTACTTTTGGTTGATTTTAGACTATAGAAATAGGCCATCCCCAGTTTAATACTCAATTTCAAATAAAAAATATAAAATACTCACAACATTGTATTCTTTAAACTATCGATGACCTAACCTAGAACCACTTTTTGCATACCCGGTAGATATCTTTCCAGCAGAGTAGTGTCATTTTACAGTAACAAGTCATATTGAGCAATCTCAGTCTTTCATGAGGTGAGCAGGTTTACTTGCACAACATAACAGCAATTTATATAATTTGGGAGTGTTTAGCATACGGTTTTGAATACAAAATGCCATTACGCTTGAGACAAATCATGCACACTTTTGATGTGTTTGGTGAAAGGATTGGTCACAATTCAGCATCAAATTTTCATGTTTAACAATACTCATTTCATTGTAATGCATTCATTTTTGTTTAAAATAAAAGAAAATTGAAAGCTTATTCCAACTGCCAATTATCATAATTATGATAAGGTTGAGATGTTCTAAGTCTGCAAAAGAATTACCGATAAAAACATGTTATGTTTTTATTCACACAAAATATAGCCCTCTCTAATATTAGTACACATAACATAAGGACATGCTTCATTAAATCCATTGCCATTAAAACGTAAGGTAGAATTGAGAGAGTACATGCAATTAATGAAATATCACTAATCATCTACATACATGTCAAAATAGAGGACCCAGGTCATATCTTAATAGGAAAGTTGCACTTGTTATACTCATGCATACAAGCAGTGGAAGGTGAAAAAAAGAGTCTTTAGAAGCTGTTTCACAGAAGGTATAGCACACATACATGTAAAATGGGATGGAATATCTTTGAAATGAATACTGACCCTGAACCAATCTTCCATCATCCTCACGATTTGATCCTAATGAAAGACACAGCATCTAGGTCAATTTTGTCCTCAAATTTGAGGCATGGTTTCAAGACTGCACTCCCTATTCTTCAATTAATACACATTTCAAATTGTAGGTCCTACAACCGTGACGAGAGAGCTCTCCACATGAGTTCTTCATAATATCCACAGAAATTCCACTAAAGAATTTACAGGCTGTCCAAGAATAAAGCATTGGCTTAAGAGCCAGTATGCTGATTCACATGTGAATTCTAATCTTCTCTCAAGCCATTGCTGACTGATAGTAAAAACATGTCTGTAATGCTGATGGTTCATTTCTTTAACTCTCAAGCATTTCCCTATTCTTGTTCCATTTCGTTTCCTCCTCTTACATTGTATATCATAAGAAACATAAAAGATGTATAATATAAACACAGGTGGATTCCTTCTTCATCTGCGAAGCTCCAACAGGCAGGTTTGGCGGTCCGCCCTCTCCAAGACGCCCTCAAAAGTACCTATAAACTCAAATGAAATTGATAAAAGTGCACCATTCTTAAAAGTTGTTGACTCAATTACCTTTTACAGGCTCTGTACTGGGATCATCCTTCTGATTGGTTGGCTCCTTATGGTTCAGCAATGAATCTCCAGACTACAGAGTAAAAATAATGGAAGAAAATTCATGCAAGAGTTGATCGGCACCAATCTCGACTGCAAGTTACACAATAAAATGACCACCCCAAAAATAATATGTCCATTTATCTAATGCAGCTAAGCTACAATAAATATATACTCCATAATATATAAAGAGGAATCAGCCTCGTTTTAGCCAAGATACTGTAATAAGCTCAATCATTTAAGAAATTTCTCCCAACCAGGTAGCAATAGACCAGTTTACGGTTAGGACAAGTCCAAAACGACCCTGAATATCCACATATCTTCAAAACATGAAGAGGTCCCACTTTGTACATTTTGAAATAATCACCCCTACAGCAATGGAGGGGCTACATAAATAGCCTTTGTTTCCCCTTTTCAAAGAATACTTCCACCTGTGTATCACGGATTGCACTGCTTGTGCATAAATGAATAACGATTACATAACTTTCATGAGAACGTATCCAGTATTTTGGCCCTGTGTATTTCACAATTTGGTCTGCAATGACCTTTACCTGCTCCCTAATAGGTCAAGACATATCCAAACAGATGAAGGGGAAGATGAAGGGGAAGGTGAAGCATAAGGGAATGTTTGCAACGACAAACAAAATTGTTTCCTTCGATTCACATATTACTAGATGCATCAGAAACATGTGTTTAGAGTCTACCACTACATACAGAATTATCTTGTAAAGAATAACAATTTAATTCATCTGTTCACCTACAATTACCACTTTATGCTTTTATTTCATTTCATCACAATGGGCTCTTTAACACTCTGCATATACATGTACATGTAGGTGAAATATTACACAATATAACAACTATATCAGAAAAAAATCAAATTCCTTACCTTGGTTACAGAAATCGATGAAGAAATGCCTTTCTTCGTTCGCAGTCTGCTTGCCATGACAGTTTCATTTCTGCAGGTATTGAATGAAGAAAAAGATAAATAACCACTACGGTCAGCAAATCGAGAGATGAGACAGAAAAACAGGAAAATCTTTAAAAATTGGGAGAGTTCAATTGTAGAGCCATTTTATTTTACTTGTACTTCACAATCCTACATTATACTCAGTACTTGACAAGATCAAGGTATGATACTGAGCCCATAGCTGACTGTACTAGACTTTAAAAGGCAAGTCCACTCCGACAATAACTTACTTTCAATAGAAGCAGAAAAACCAATCAAAAAAATTTTGAGCAAAATCGGATAACTAATGAGAAAGTTATGAATTTTTAATGACTTGAAGAACTATGAAAATCACTAGACAAATTGGCAACTCACTCATGAGCCTTAAACGCCATTTCCTCACTATCCACTTATTGTTTTCTTTATATTGATAATATAATTTTCCCATTTCCCCCCTATTAATCTTTCTCACACCGGCATTCCAGTTATTTTGAATATGTTTTTGTGTGGATGCACTAATATAGAGGTCTAGAGGTTTTTTTTTCAGTTACCATATTTGCGGGCGTTAAGGCCGCAGCGCCGTATAGACCGCACCCCCGATTTTGACATTTCGTAGACAAATTTTTTTTTTTTTAATTGTTCTGCTTTTTTGCTGACACCATGGGCAGCAAGCCAGATGGCGTCTTATTTCAGCTTTCTCTCTGGCCACAGTCACACAGTCGATCGTGTATTGCGCCATAGCTTGGCGCGCGCAAGCTGCGAGGATTGAGGTTGCTTAAGCGAAGGCACGAACTTAGATCTAGATCTACCGGTATTTTGGGGTTGGTAAGTTGTGAAGTTTATTCACAAGATTGACAAAGTTGAGTTATTCTAGAAATGTCCTGTACCATTGTACATTAACCGGTATAGCTATTATACTTAGCTTAGTCCCATATATGTGCTGTTTTGACTGTTGTTGCGCATAGGCTGCACCCAGGCTTTTTGACATTTTCTATTCTGAAAATACTACAGCCTTCACGCCGGCAAATACAGAAATCATGAAAATTTGAATTTTTATAAACTATTTATATAAAAATCAATAATTATGAATACCGGTATATAATATTCAGAAAAAAGTATTGATTCTTCAAAGTTCATTAAATATTTTGTAAAATGTCATGCACGCATTATGATACAAATCATGATATAACCTGGGCAAAGGCATGGGGAAATCAAATTTTGGGGGATAAAAAGGGAAAGTAATGGGATAAAAATTTATAAAGCAATTGATAAATAGTGAGGCAATGACGTCACAAACTGATAACCAAATTGACAATTTGTGTAGTGATTTCCATACTTTTTCAAAAATTTCTTTATTAGTTATCTGGTTTTACTCAAATTTGTGTTGCACTGTTTCTCTTTTTTGGAGTGGACTTAGCCTTTAAAGGTATAGACCAGTTCTGTCATGCAAATGCACTGTGAAAAAAATGTTGAGGAATCATTCAGAAAAGGTTAATCATCTAGCATATACAAGTAGTATTGGTGTGTACTGCAAGGTTCTGGAATCATCAATATGATAAGAAATTTGGCCAAATCTTGGCAAAGTTACAAGCACTGTACACAGAATGATGTATATGGGACTACACGAGCACATGGCGAAAAAAACCTTCCCCCCCCCCCCCCCATTTTTATGTTTCATGTCATATTTAGAATATGAAGGCATTTAAAGAGCCATGCTTTTCAGGGAACATGTTTAATCTGATGTTCTTCCACCCTTGCATAATAACAATGATAACGCTCACAAATTATTTTTTACCTCTTCCCAGAACTCAACCTTCTCTTTAAAACTTAAGTATTTCATTTTTATCAATCATATTCTAGCTCATCCTGATTTAATCTGAACTGCTGATGTTATAAATATGGGTTGCAAAGCAGTTCGCCCCATGGGGTTGCTGTTCTCAGTACAGCTACAATGTAGCTAGCTACTGTACTAGCCGCGTCTCTCGGCAGGATGAATAAATCAGGTTGAAAGAAACATTAATGTTTGAATAATAAAACGGCTTTTTAAAAAATACTTCTTTACAACATACAGATTGAATAATATTTAAAAGACAAAATAGATATTTTTTCTTTGATTTTGAACACCGCATGCTTCTTTTAAAAGCTGAAAATTACTTGGTAATCACAAGTTTTGATACTGATTGCTGTTGCAAGGCGAGTTTGATCAGACGAGTCACATGCGCAGTGCACTTCATTAGCTGTAATGGTGCCAAACGAACCCAAACAAATATGTGATCGTAATGAGAAAAAAATCATTAAAAACTACGAGAGCACAATTGGAAAGACAACTACTCAAAATTATTGTAAGCAGATACATTTAACTTGCAGGAAGAATACAATAGTTGTCCAAGAAAAGCCACAGAAATAGTGATATTTGAAGAATTACTATAGGTACAATTATTATTGGAATGGGCCTGCTGCAATGTCCGAATTACACGTGTTTAAATTGAACACGAGGCTAGAAACCAAATACCACCCTCTACGGTAAAAAGCAGTATAACAAAGGATTCAAGTATTTGCAGCAGGCCCCTTTCGATAAAAATGTACCCAGTTACTCCTCGATTATCACAATTTCTGTGGCATTTCTTGGGCGATTATTGAATTCTTTGTCCAAGTTATGTATATGACAGCCCAAAAAATACACGGGGGCAGAGGGTGGATTCGCCCCGGAGTTAGCTCGCTAGCTGAGCTCGAGCCGAAGAGATTTGACACTTTGAAATTGTTATCTGTTGGTTTGCATCATTATTGCCGCGATTTCAATATAGTTTCGTGAATAGATGTACGAAACCTGAGCTTAGAATTAGTAAAAGTATTACTAATGTCTACGTTTTTAAACGACTGTCTGATTTCCTTGTGAAAATTTTATTTAGAAAAATGATTATCGAAATTCATGGCCAGAAATAATCACAATCTGGGGTCTATTATGTTACAGTTCTTGCATCAAATCAATGCATGAAAAATTAGTTATTGAACTAGAAAAAGGGGTTTCTTTTTTGATAGGCAATTATGAAGCAGGAAGCCTGAAACCTTAGCCTACTAAACAAATCTCAACAAACTGTAGACCTATCCTTTCATGAATTAACCAAAAAGTAGCCCCAGAAAAAAGAGCCCCCGAAATGAAAAAAGTAGCCCCAGAAAATTTCCCAAAAATTTGAAATGGAGCCCCGGAAATGAAAAACTCAATTTTTTGCCTGGTATCTGATTATGGTAATTTTGAGCAGTAGTTGTCAATCCAATTGTGCTCTCGTAGTTTTTAATGATTTCTTGTTACGCTCACATATATTATATTTGTTTGGGTTCTATTTGGCACGCATTACAGCTAACGAGGTGTACTGCGCATTTTTCTGTGACTAGTCTGAACTATATCAAAACTTGTTGTGATTACCAAGTAATTTTAAGCTTTAAAAAAAAAGCATGCGATGTTTAAAATAAGAGATAAATATTTATTTTGTCTTTACAAAATTATTTGATCGGTATGTTGTAAAGAAGAATTTTTTAGAAAGCCATTTTATTATTCTAACATTCATATTTTTTTACCCGATTTATTCAACCTGCATGAATCAAAATGGCGGTTCAAATGTTGTCTTTCTAGTCTTGCCCCAGTTTTTTTAACTGTTAAAGGCACAATAATGGCACTAAACATCGCCAATCACGGATGAAAATAATGTCAAATGTAAGGATTAGACTAGTAAGGATATACCGACCTGAACCGAGGTATGCATGTGTTGATTTATTTGATTGATATAAAAAGGTCACTTTTAAGGGACATAGTCTACTGATGATATGCGCTTTTTATAGAGGCAGGTGACAAATCCTGAGGGCTGATTTTGGGACACCGGGTACCGATCAGCAGGTGCAAGGCCGTCGGGACCCGGTTTATAAAAATCCCGACATGACTCAGGCCTATTATAAATCTTCATTTAGATCTATAGGAAAAATGCTCAAAAAACTATAAGAAAATTTACACGAAACAGGTAAGATACATAACGACTTTTTAATCATAACCACTATTTAAAAAAATTGATGAAGATTTAGGGTCTAGTTGATTTTCGGTATGTTTAAGTAGGGTATTTCCACACCTGAGTTCTTGGTCAAAGTCTGGATAGACTTCTGACCTAGCGCCGAAAATTGAAAAATCGTTCAGACACCCTACTCAACAGTAGGGGCGCTGGTCCGAGAATAAGGATCGTCTTCGTAAACGCGGACCAATGCGTCCTCAAAAATAAGGAGCATCCGCATTTTCGCAGATGTTCATATATTTGATTGCCGCGTTGGCGATGCAAAAAACGGATTCTGCGATGATTTTTTGTTATGCCTTTTACATTGACTTTGTACAGAGACTCTCACTTTATGAGCCATAAATCCTTGGGAAGATGGACAACCCTGTAAAGTAGACAGTGAACTAGGGTTATTTTCCCAAGGGGAATCCATTTTACGCATTGCCAAGCGGGCGGCACGGAAACCCGAAACCCGCAGAGCGCCGATGACAAAAAATGTCTGCGAAAATGCAGGATTATGAGGATATCCTCATTTATGAAGACGATCCTCATTCTATAGTATGACCAGCGCCCCCGACTGCTCAATGCTCAATCAATGTGCAAACTTCTTTGTGACAAGCCAACAAAAAGACCACAGCCAACATAGGTCTAGATCTAACACACACTCACATTTCACATTTTAAAAACTTTTAAACATTTGCTACTTTAGTGAAATTTAGTTAAGGCTTAAATATTGCTAGAACCTCCAAGCAAAGTATTTAGGATTAGCTCTGTCGGGGCTTTAGACTTGCCAGCACCACAGTGCAGTGCAGCCTATTTTCGTTAAAACAAGCCAAGCCCTGCCCTGGGCCTGGCCGGACCGCACCGGCCCAGATGACCAGGCGGTAGGGATCGATCGGGACCAAAGTATTTTGTTTCAGTGCGCCATCGTTAGTGTTACACAGTTAGGCCTACAGCTTTGTGTGCGCAAGTATTAAATTAGGCCACAAATTAGTATGTTTTATGACAAAAATCTTGTACATACATTCAATTAAAAATGTTGATGCCTCTGTGCTGTATATCAAGCAAGAAATCCAGATCAATTCTTCAGCACACCATCCACAAAAGGGTCGAAATTTTAGCCTTGATTACCCCTTGAAACGTAATCGGTAGGTAAACATGGCGGCGGCAGCAAGTAGTTCATTGTGTGGCACTCGACTGCAGATGGCGCTGGTCCAGATTGAGAAGAGATAGTCACAGTTCGTTGTTATATCAAGCTCGTTTATTTTTATAGATAGACGTAAATGTGCCTATATGAGATTCCGTCTTACCTATTATAATATGGAAATTATAATAATATTACATAATTTCCAAAGAAATTCCTGAGATGGATCAGCTTTCCCGCCTCTCCTAGACACTCTCCTGTATTTCTAATCGAATATTAATCAATCTGATTAAAAATATATCGAATATCATATCGCTGGCAAGATAAGTGTTTGTAAAAATTAATAGCATAAAAAAAAATATTTTCGCTTTTAAATTGAGATTGCAGCCAGCTCATCCCCTTTTTATAACTATGTAGACGTAAAATCGGTATCCTACATACGTTTGACCCCCCCCCCCCCCTCCCCCCCTCCACCATCATATCTTACTGCACGTAATACAAATATTACGTGTGCACCCGAAACAATTAGTTTCAATAGTTTTTAAGGAAACGATTTTTAAAATGTTTTTTTCCTTAACGTCAGGGGATGATGTTAGACAGTCAAAAATGGATGAGGAAACATATTTTTGAAACTGTGAGTGGAAAATACCTTGATTGTGTTTTGTCTGGTGCAATTCAGAGGACTATTTTGAAAACAATCACCAGTCGTCGAAGAAAGACACAAATCAAATGAAACATAAATGTGTAGACTTCAGGGGGGAAATGGAGATCAATGTTAACATTTGTCGCTTGAAATTGAACGCCCTCGTGCAGTTTTTTATGAATGATAGATCATAACATTGATGAGGTTCTACTGTTACGACCAACGGGGCGTACGCAGGGGGAGGGTTTTGGGGGTTCAAACCCCCCCCCCCCCCCTTTGGTATTTTTATGTATGTAAACCCCCCTAAAAAACCAAAACCCCCCCCCCCCCCCCTTTGTTTTTTGTTTTGTTTTTTTGTTTTTTTTTATTATTAAACAAAAAAAAAACAAAAAAAAATTATACCCACGGCTAACCTAAATAAGGTGACCTTTCCCCCCCCCCCCCCAACGAAGAAAAATGTCAAATTTTGAAATTTTGGCCTCCAAAAAAAAAAAAAAAGTGTCCGCTTACCCCCTGGTTACGACGCAGCATCAGTCTGTAGTGACAGCCAAAAAGAAGCAAAAAAAAAATGCTATATAACTCACTTCAAATTGAAATATTTATGAAATAATTCTATCTTGCTGTGGACTAACAAAATAACAACAGGAACATCGAAAACATTTTCATTGGCTTCGAGTCTAAGAATAAAAATGTATTGTCAATACATTAGCGGCACTCATTTTCATATAATGATGGTGCAATTCACAACTTTGTAAAAGCCTTTATCAACCATAGAAAATTAATCATTACTTTGGAAAAAATATAAAAAATCAATAAAGATTTTAGTGCAAAAAAAACCTCTACAAAATAGTTTCGTCTCATTATTGTTTCATTTTGAATATAAAGAGGGATTTTATAAACTAAAGTATTAAATTCATCTCCAATACCACAACCAAGCTAAATATTTTGTATTCACATCATGATTTAAAAATACTGGCAAAATATGATGTTGGCTGATAATGCAATACCCAATGACTGTATAGCATGTGAAGTGGAAGAGACAGCTAGAATAGATGGTTTCTTTGGTGCCATGGCAACTTGGGTGTTTTGAAAATCACAAACTTCGTGATATCAAGGGGGTACCAAGCAGACCCTCGAGCGCCTTCCGTGAGCCTCCTTGAAATACAGAAAATGATAATGATCCTTTGGGAAAAGGGGGAGGGGTGTTCTACAATTTATTCATATTCGTTTCCATCCAATTCAAAATTTACCGGCCATGCACAAAACTAAATAGGCACTTGGCATAAAATTAATTCTTCCGCTGTTTATGAATAGGTCTACATAGAAAACATTAGTTTAAAGGTACTATTTCCCATTTGCAGGCCACACAAATGAAAAGGTTAAATTCCACCGGCATTTGAAAGTTAATACCATTTTAGAAATTCTCTCAAAACGAAAGGGCTTGAAAATTTAGTTGTCGAATCGACTTTAGTGTTTGCAATTCTTTTAGTAAATAGTCAGATTTTCAGACCCTTGTACCGAATGGTATAACGTCTTGTGCTGCGCAAAGATTCAATCAGTTTAATTTTAGCAATTATAAAAAGTGGGTTATTGACGTAGATACGTGCTGTTGTACCTTTTACAGCTCATTCCATGTACATGTATGTTATTACCAAAGAAAAAATAAAGTCAGTCAGTCACTGATAGTGTAATAATAATTAAGCATAATTTGAATACTAGGACACTGCTCACATTTAAATTTCACGGGTAGGAAATACGTGACATATTCTTAATTCCTGCAAAGTTCTGTACATAATTTTGATGTTGGCTGCCAATGGGATATAGTACCACTAACAGAGACTTGTCATTTTTTTGTAAGTACATTTCTATGTAGAAATTTATTGTTGCATTAATTTTGTCTTATAAATCAGTTTATATGGATCAATCTAAATCTAAATCAGATAATAATTTATTTCGTTGAGTACCGAATGACTTTGATTGATACCGGTTGATTTCAACTTGATTATTATGATGCTTTGCTGTTTCATGTTGGTTTTATGTTTAAATCTGTCTATGGTGATAATGTGGAGACATCTTATTTAATGGAAATTAAGCAACAAATTGAATTATCAAAAATAGTTGAATGAATATAGATTACTTAAGTCACATGTAGAGGAAAAATTATAGGGCATGATATAACAGTTGGATCGCAATTATTTTTGAAAAATCAACTCAAAGTTCATGCATGTACGTTTTAGAGAAATCATGGTCGGATTAAGTAACGTCATTGTCATGTTCGTACATTTCAATAGGTGACGCAAAAGGCTATTGAAATTGTCTTAAGTTGATTTTTCGAAAGCAGTTATGATCGCGTTATTATTTTTATATAAACAATCCTAACATTTAATAAATGTGTATATACAGTAAAGGGAATATATTTAGGTACACGTACATATCATAATAAAAGACGACCTAGCCCAAATAAGATAGGGTGCATGGAAAAGGGCAATGGGAAACGAAATAGTTTGATATCTTATAGAGAGAGGGGGAGAGCCGGGGAGGGGGAGAGGGGGTGGGAGAGAAGGGGAGAGGGCGGGTGAAATCGGTAAGAATGAGATAGTGTATAGAGGTATACTATAGGGGTAGTGGAAAATAGAGATTAGAGACAAGACAGTATCAGTATAGAATATGATATGTGTGAGAAGAGTACGAGGGACGTATTTTCGTGAAGAAGGAAAGAGAGATGAAAGGGAGCACGTAAGAAAAAGATCTAGGGATGAGAGGGGTGGGAGTGGCAAGACGTGCATAATTATGAAGAGGTAACGTTAGCCATAAAGCTATGCCCAAACCTGTATAGTACATCCAAAATGCCCCTCTTGCTAGTTATTAAAATGATGTTTTACCTTTTAGTGAACTTCCAACCTATTCAGTTTAGTTTCCTTGTCTTATTCACTCTCAAAGGTCCAATCCTGTCCAGTTTGTAAACTACTTTTCAAATTCCAAACAATGATAACCATGCATTTAAAAGGGTCCTACAGATTTAACTTTCCAGAGGGAATACAAAAAGGCTTTCAAATTTTAAGTCTATTAATAGGGACTCAATTACACCTAGCTGCATGGCTTCCATTCACGAGCAGGATCAACTAGTGCTCAACAAAGACACGCGAGCTTGGACAAAGAATTCCATTCAGTTATTTATTCCTTTATTTATCTATTTATTCTGACAGGGTACCTATTGATTTCAGGTATATTGGATGTTCTGTCTCAAGAACAGGCAGGACTTCCGAGGCGCGAATAATATTATCTACTGGTTCTTAATTGTCCTGAAACCAAAGTTCAGTAGAGTTGGGACCGGTCAGCTCTTGGATGGGAGACTGCTTTTCCATTTTTAAAAATTTCAAATAAAAACTCCCTTTTTGTTCAAGCCAATGGGCTTTAATTAGCAAAGAGAAGTTGGCCCCGTAATAAAGCACGAAAGCATATATTCCAGCCTTAGTCAATACGATTCTTTATTATTTCTTCTTTCTTCAGTTGACTTGTTGCACGTTTTGATAAAGAGCTAGCATAACCCTATAGTCCGTTTAAATACTAAATTTTGACCAAGTACTAATACCAGTGCCAGGGAGGGGATAGGTAGGGGTGCAAAAAAAACTTGTAAAATGCCAAATAAGGTGACAAGTTTTCTCGACACCTACGGCTTCCGCAACCTTTAGGGCCTCTCTTGTCATCATAGTTACACAATCCACCCACGAAGTGTACCGCGGAAGTAAGTCAAAGCAAATTAATTAAAGATCTTTAATCTGACTGGTCGTCGCATGTATCTCTTATACTACGTCATAAATAACAACAAATATTTTCATATCTAATATGGCAGTAGACGCCATTTTGGGGGTCGAAACATGCATAGTCTCTGGAATGTATTACTTTTAAAGTCCTGAGAGTTAATGTGAGTCACACTTTATACATAATTTCTAATTTATAATCAGTTTAAAGTACCTGTTATCACGTGTTAGCATGCATATTTCTTCGTATCTATGGGGGTCTTTTCAACATTTTGATCCTTCATGGACCTAACATTTGATGTATCTTTCATTATACATTTAACTTTTAGTAAATGAAAGCAGACTTATAACCACTTTTGAAATCCTTGTTTTCACATGTCAGACTTTTAAAATACTTTAAAGGCCAACATTAGGTATAGTCCCTTAGATTTATGCGGGCTTTTCTTCGACTTTTGGAGCATTCGTTGATCTTTTCAAATTTTATGTAACACCTAACTTCATTTCAAGGAAGTACTATAGAGGAGATTTAATCAATCTTAGAACTGATTTGAAATTGGAATAGACTCATACAATAAGCGCATGTATATTACATTATGTTGATAAGGGAAGAAGTTGTAATATAAAGCAAAAACTTATTTTTGT